TAAAAGTATCACAGTGAAATGGTAAGCATCTTTGCAACGGTTTCATTAAAAGTGCACGAGAGAATATTATAGAAACGTCTTTTAGAAGAAGTTCATTTTAAAATTTAACAACCAAAAAGTGGATTCAAAAAAGGCAAATGCATCCAAGACCACAAGGAACTCAAGCACTGAGTTATACCAAGCCTGTATTAACTTAGAAAAAGCATTTGGATGACATAATTAAAGAAACTAAAGCAGAAACACTGAAATTATAATATGCCGGATGTAGAAATCTATAAGCGGTGTCGATCTCAGAGTGCGCATACACATACGATCTTTCATATTTGGAATATACGAAGAAGCACTCAATTGAAATTTACAAGCATGGAACGCTGCACTAATGATATTAAATTTGAGGATTAATGAGGAGAAAACGAAAGTAATAGTATCCGAAAAAAATAGAAAACAAACGGAGATAAAAATTCGGAAATACACTCGAACGTGTCGAAACCTACAAATACTTGGAGTGTATATAGAGCAGAGGAACTGAAGAAACTGAAGTTCGAGAATAGGAAGTACCACAGATGTACCATGCAATCAAAAGTACGCTTTTGTTCAAAAAAGAAGTATTCCAAAAATCAAAGTGGCCATCGAATAAGACGGTGTTTGCGCCGATTTTTACTTTTGGTAGTAAAAGTTGGGACGTTTACCGATAAATTCAGATAGAAAATACAGAGCGTAGAAATGAGGCAGTCAAGGAACACTTAAGGTCCAACCAATTGTTAAGAAAATTAAGGAGACCCAACTAAGAGGGTATGTACACATGATTAGAATAATTCAAGCAAGACCAGTTAAACAAGTATGGGAAGCGAGAAGACAAATTAAGAGACCAAGGGGCATCCAATGAAAATATGTGACGATAATGTAACCTCAATCCTAGAGACAAGGGAAATTAGCAAAGAACAGGTAATAAGACCAAGCAAAGAATAAAAAGTAATGGAGAAAAACTGTGCATTTAACTTTACTGTTGCAGCCTTCTTTAATTGAAAAAAGAAGAATAATGGGAGTGTAAAAACTTTCCATTTGTAAATACTGATATATAAACGACTATAAAATTTCAAAAATGAAGTTTTGTTTAATTAATGCACTTTTATTTTGTTAATAAACTGCATATGAATATTTTTTGTTGTATAATTTCCAGCCACTGCCAGTCGGTTAAAATTTCGGCAACCAACGTTGCTAACAATAATTACTAAAAGAAAAGACAGTTACGTTAGGTTAGGTTTCGTCAATAGAAATCTTCGGATTTCTACTTTCGTGATTTAATAATTACCAAATTTACTAGATAGTTCACTGGGGTTGACGGGGACTGGGATCAGCGAACCGAATATATTTGAAAAATCTCAAAAAGCACATGTAAGGCGAAATGGTAAAATCGAAGATAGAAAAGGTTCAGTTTGACAAATAAATTAATGTTAGATAATATTAGACAGTGGTCAGATTGTCAATAAGTTCTAAAAAAAATTAGTTTGGCTAATCTGTCATTAAAAAAATATCCATAATAAAAAAATTGTGCCAAAAATGTCATCTTTTATGTAACTGTATATAATTATCAATTAAGTACTTATATAAAAAAATGTTACCTGAGAAGAACGTAGTGCAGCAAAATCCATGGAGTGACACAGCTAAAACTAAACTTTGAACTGTCGTTACTGAGCTGCCTAGAAATAATTTTAGATAAATTCTGAACGAGCCTAGCTCGATGTTCTTCCTGCAAGAAATCGACAACGCAAATAGTATCTTGTTTGATAATTTCGAATAGAATAGCCAGACATTTTTCCAAAACCTTCTCCCACTTATCCTGATCCTTGCTGAATTTCAAATGTTGCTCGAAGGCTTCGTTCAGACTTTGCTCGGTCCATATAAAGCACTGCCCTTTGTCCGTGAACCATAAGGAATGCATAAGAAGGCCGAGTTGAGCCGGACGTCCCATTCGTCCAACTTGTGGACACGGCCCACCACCGAAAGTCTCTTTAAGAATATCGGCAGCCTCTGTGTACCTTTCTGAATTGAACAAACTTTCGACGGTTGAAAGTGAGTTGATCATTTCTAAATGTTTAAAAATTTTCTTTGTAATGTCGATATTTATGAGCCCATATTTGAAACAATTAGGTAAACTTAACATATACTTCTCTTTAGTTGAAGCTTCTTTTTCCTCTATAGCTTCTTGTATTAACTGTAGAGCAGTTACTGCCAGATCGTTATTATTCTCTTTGCGAAACAAATGAGCCTGTAACCAATATACTCTGATGAAAAATGAAGGATATTCCTCCTTCCACTCATCCTCCCATCCACTAATAAGCCTCAAATTACCCAACAAAGTGGGAGGCAATGGATCTTTAGTATCACAGCTAAAAAATGCTAATTCTCCAGATAAAATAGCAGCCAAGGCATCCCTCTTCAATTCTTCGAAGGAATGTCCACCACAGAATACCTGAGGAGGATCACAGTGTTCTCTAAACATATTGTAAGCTGTTATGTAGAGTGGAACTAGCTCTTTGGGCCACTTGTGATGCCACAATTTCGATAAGTGGAATACTAAGTCTTTTATTAATACTATAACGTCGTAGTATTCACGACTTTTCATCCAGAATTCTCGTACATCTTCAACTTCCCGGTCAGTTCCAAAATACTGTTCGTAATTTACAGATTTTGGAGAATGGATCGGTGACAAGTAATTAACGTTGTAATTTTCAACATACATATGGTAAAGGTCCATTGTATTCATCGAATCTTCAAAGTTAGTGAACTTATCCGGATCTATTCTATATGGTAATAAATCTTTCGGTATTACTCTTTCCAGTGCATCTTCTACCGTAAAATCTTTCTCTTTTGCTTTCTTGGAAAGTTTCCTTCTACTATACCAACTCCATATTTGCAGGTCTGAGACAACATCTCTTTTTCTTTTTGAACCTCTTGGCCGGCCTCGTTCTCTTGGTTCAACAACTTCATCCTGTTCTTCAGTTTCTTGCTCCATGTTTTGTTCCTAAAACGACGTCAAAAAGTCAATAAAAAAATACATACGATTTTATTAAAATGATTTAATGTTTCTAGCAGACTTATATCTGACAGCAGTGACAATGTAGAATTAATTAACGGGCTATGCAAGAATCACCTATCGGATATGTCGGTTTCTTTATACACAAAAGAATGGCCAAGAACATCTCATCGATAAATAAAATCTCAACCAGAGTAATGTAGGTACTCAAATAATTAAGCTCAAAATACATTTTAAAGGTAATACAGGTTTACGTCCCTACAACGCAACATAATGACGATGAAGCAGAAACATTTTCAACGCCTAAATATGAATCAAGGAAGACCTATCAGAAACAACACTAGAAAACTTTGAAAGTGAAGAAAGAAACGATAGAGTAAAACCGGTATTAAAGTTTTTTTTAGAAAATAATCTTTACCTAATGAAAAGGTTCTTTAAAACGAAAAAGCATAGAAGGTGCCCATGGGAAAGTCCAGAAGGAAGAATAAAAAACAAAATCTATTTTTTATATAGACCTCCAGGTGACGAAATGTGAAATATTGGTGAAAGCAATAAAGCACAGAGAACAAAATAATTGAAAAAATTAACCTGATTTCCAACTTCTGTCTTCACAACGCCAGTGTCCCAACAGCCATAATTATTTTACTTAATAAAAAGGGAGACAAAACAAATTTGGAAAATTATGGGACGATTAGTCTTTTAAACCACCTCTACAAGGATGGAAAGAAATCTAGAGATACATCAACCTAGACAACAGGCAGGCTTCCAAAAAGGAACCAACGACCATCTCCAAAGCCTTTTTATAGAGAAAACAGTGGAATACAAGATGCCTCTTGCTTTAGTATTTATTGATTTTCATAAATCAATATTACATGATATATATCATATATTTACTAAATAAAAATTGAATCAAGCTAATTTACATAGTAAAAGTAATAATATAAAAATAGAAGGAGGAATCAGACAATGATATGCAATGTCACCTAAACTTTTAATATGTTCTTGTAACAACACTAGAACACTAGTTTAAGAACTTAAATTGGTAAACAAAAGTATAAAAATAAAGGTGAATACCTAAACAACTTACGTTACGATATAACTGAGTAGCATAGTTACAAAGACGACTTAAGACCACCTCGACCGATTTGTATTTTATAGTGGACTCGTATCCTTCACAGAAAGTCCTATTCATTTATGAAAAAAAAATGCTTTATAAACTCAGCTCTTGCCGCTTTAAATCTTAAAATCAACCTTATTTTCAAAAACGACTCTTTCCATAAGCGCTCAGAGTCAAAGACGACTCATCGCCATGGTCACGCGATCCATGTTTCCGTTTTCTGTTCCCTACTGCATGTTGTCAGTTCCAACCTAACTATATACCAACAGTTTTTGCAGTGTGTATGTTTTATTTTGTTTGTGTTATTTCATATTGTTGTTTATTAATTGTATAAAAAAACGTTTGAGGTAAGTGTACTTCCTTCTGTAACAATAAGCTTTGTGGCGTAGAAAACCATGAGGCATGAAGAGCTTATATTATATGAGTACGTAAGGTATATTCTGAGTTTTGCATTGAAAGGTATAGTAGCCTCGTATTTCCGTGAGACTGTGCAAAAATATATGTATCAATGTATCTGTAATAAAATCATTCAACAAAAAGGTACTCTACCAGGAGTCTGTAAAATTATCAATGACTCAGACCTATAATTTCAAGGCACAAAGTTTCAGATTCCACTCGATATTAACATTCAGACGTGCCTGGTATAATCTTTTAAAATATGAACCAGATATGAACAATCAACCAATTAAGTTTTCATCGAACTTATGATAAGTCCACGTGGACTAATGGCCAATGAAAACATCGGATATCGCTGTTATGACAAATCATAATGCATTATCTTTTGTCGGTAGACTTATTCATACTTGGGGTAAGATTATATCAGTATTTGACTGAGCTTACGGAGTCATAAAATAAGGGATCAGGTTTCGACCGTCCAGTGCCGAAGGCACGGGACGGGGAAAACTTAGATAGGCAAATTTTTATATTTTATTTTTAAATTGCGGATATGACCAACAGATTTTTGGGAGACAAGAATATTTTTAGTAAAATCATAACTGCTACACAGCGTTCAGTTAAATTCAAATTTCAAATAGTGAACCGCAAGTTAGTTTGGTAGTGACTTTTTTCAGTGTTCTTTATACGGAAAACATTTTATATTTTACGTTTTTTACTTTTTTTGATACGTTTTTACGTAATTATGTTTTTATACGTTTGATAATTTTAAAATATTGCGTCCGTAGTGCGATAATAATTATGTAGCTGAAGAGACAATGGAACCCTCTAATCGATTGGAAGATTTACAAGGGCGTGTAGTAAAACTTAAGAGACATTTTCAATACCTTTCTGATGATGCCAAACGTATGCTAAAAAATGTTTATGAAGGGCTGTGTGCTGAATTGTCTAAATCAGAGGCAATTGCAGAAACATGTTTTTTAACCAGAGTGCCCAAAGCAACCTGCTACAAAATTATAGGAGAAACATCTTCTAGACAGAAGAGAAAGGATTGTGGCAAATTCAGAAAAATAGAAACGCACTTAATTGAATCTATAACTAGAACAATATACCAAATGTATGTGGCTAATATTTTTCCAACGAAAGCCTTCGAAGTGAATTAGTTCGAAAGTGTATTCTCTCGTGTTCAGCAACAACACTTCGATTATTTCTTAAAGCCAATAATTTTAAGTACAAAACTATAGACAAGAGACAGACATGAATGGAAAGTACTAGAATAATTTCTTTAAGAAACAATTATATCAGACAGATAACTGAGCATCGAAAAATAAAACGAAATATTGTTTATTTAGATGAGACCTGGTATGATACTCATGACACCGTGAAAAAAAAGTTGGACAAATAATAACAAAAAGTGTTTCAACTCAGTACCGCCCAATAAAAGAAAGAGGATTATAATTTTACACTGCGGTGGAGAAAATGGATGGGTCGACGATGCATTATTAATATCTGCAAAACAAATTAAAAACGCGTCTCTGGATTATCATGACGATATATGGAAAGTTCAATTTTTGAATCGTGGTTTGAAAAATGTCTTCTTCCGAAATTACTTAAAGATAGTGTGATTATCATGGACAACGCATCATATCATTCAAGATTAATGAAAAAAACTTCAAATAATAGTTGGAATAAATTAAAAATTCAGGAATTTTTATTCACGGAAGATTTGTATTTTGAGACATCTTATATTAAAAAGCAATTGTTGGAGGTTGTTCATAGTAAACAGTACAAAAAGGAATATGTTGTTGACAACTGTGCTCGTAGTAACGGGCATATGTGTTTAGACTTTCTCCTTACTATTGTACATTGAACCCAATAGAGTTAATATGCGCTCAACTTAAAGGAAATATAATGAGAAGAAACGTTGCTCCAAAATTTTTTGTCTATTGTTCTTCAGTTAATTAGAAGAGAAGTCACAAAAATTACAGCAACCAACTGGAAAAATGTAATAAAAATAAAACATGTGATCGGAGTGGAAAATGACTATGTTAAATATTTACCAGCATTAACCAAATTACCTATAAATTTAGATGATACGAGTGATACTAGTGATAACAGTGATTCTGAGTAGATAGTAAGTACTTATTAGGTGCTAGTTGAAATCTTTATTTCTCTTTTAATTGTAGATATTCTCATTTTGCTTATATATCTTTGAAAACAGGGTATAAACCATCGAGCAATAAGACAAAAGAGGGAATGTAAAGGTAGAAGGGGTAAACATATTGATAGACAGGAAGTGCCATCTTGAGAGGCCACTTTAGACATGGATAGACAGTCTCTTTCCTTGTTTAAGAAGTCAAATTTAGTTTGGTTATGTTATTGTTTGTCCCAACTGTCACATGAAATTTTATTTATATTGAAGTTTTTTACCAATTATGTCACTTTTTAGACTATTATCGTTAATATTTAATTAAAACTTTCTAGTCTGAAAAATATTTTATAGCTATTATTAACAAATGTTGGAAAATTTAAATTTAGCGCCTTTGCATTTCCGGATGTGTCCGCCATCAGAGGCCACTTTTTTGGTCTCCTTTTTATAACGATTAGATTCCCTCTTTTGTCTTATTGCTCGATGGTATAAACACACTTCTTCATAGGACAAAATTATTAATGTTTTAGGGGAGTATGTCAACTGAAACTGTCACTGTCATTCTCGCTGAATAACTTATTTTATATTTTTATTCGCTCCGTGCGTGACCATGGTAGGGGCACAGAATAATAAACAATCAGAAGGGCCACTCTCAGATGCCGCCTTTGAAGTTTTTCAGCACGCGCGCCATGTTTTAGGGGGACACAAACATATGATTTGTGAGGTTATGCAATTGTTTACATTTATGTTTAATTATATTATATTTATGTTATTATATTTAAAACTGTTAATATAATTGTATAGTATGTCTATGATTGCCGTAAGTCAAATAAACCTGGTTTTTTTTCCATGCACACCACATAAACAACACTGATTCCCTTTAAAATCCTCGTAAAACATGGCGGAACGTCTGCGCGAAGGAGATGCGCGTACTTAATTTTCCGTGGAGAGTGGGCATTCTGTTTGTTTATTATTCTGTGGTAGGGGTACATTGAAACGATGGCAGCGTGCTTAGCGGCGAAATATGACAAAATTGGAATATTGGACAAAATATTTTTACGCATAAATTTTATCAAAAATGTATGAAAATACATGTTGCGTATTTAATTGTGCTAATAATAGCAAAAACAGTGAGTGTAGTTTTTATAGGTTCCCAAAGATTACATATAAATTAGAGAAAAGAAAAAGATAAATTCGTGCTATTAATATGAAAAAGTAAATATCACATAATTTCATGTTTATGCAATTGAAATTGATATTTCAGAAGATATGCGCAAATTGGTAATACATCAACATCATCTAGGCAGTAATCAAGTACAAACTGTAAGATCACCCAATTTAACAAGATAGACAGTCGCCGTTATCAGGTTTCATTTTTGACTTTATTATTTCGCACAGGCCTTGCAGATGGGAAAAAAATCTTTCAGGGCAAACAGCTCATCTTTTACATCTTCATTAACAGCACATCTGATGTAAATCCACGATTTACTACACGTAAATTGAAATAGCAAGATGGTGTTTTTGGCCTGCAAATAATTGACTATCCAACGCATTCTATAACTTTACGACTTCTTCTTTAAATAAGAAACGCGGTCTTCTGGTATAACACAGGAGTGTGTCAGGCGGACTTACTAGAAAATCATATTGTTCCGTAAGTATCGTGTCAGAACTGCATATTTCAACATTATAATATCCATCGCAAAATCTCGACGAGCCACCATTTTTTTTAGAAGAAAATGGTATAGAAGCATTGTAATGGTGTTTAGAATGACAGAATGACAATAACTTAAGCGACATGTGTCTAAACATTTATCATTTAATGACCACTCGTATAATTACTCCCTTATACTTTGCTTAAAGCTTTGCCTAACAACTTATACTTTGTTATAATAACAGTATATTCCATAAATTTTAAATATTATTTAACAAAAATAATTTACATATGTATTCAATTTTTATTATTTACAACTTGTTTTAACTACTTTACGAAAAAACAGTAAGTAATGTGGAAGATACTATATTTTTGAAGCTTCTAGAAGTAAGTTCAAAAAATTCATTTTATATCATTTCTAAAATATTAAGATTATGATAAGACTTTCTTCATATGCAAAATATATTCCACTGTTGTTAAACCTTCTTTTATGTTAGGATTATGTTAGGATTTTATGTCAGCTCTACAGCCCTGGGTGAACTATGGCTTTTCTTAAAGTATCCTTCCAGGGATTCATCTTCACATCTAGTCTTCTCGATGTCCTTATTCCTAGTAACTACAGATCTGCTTCCATATCGTAGTCAAAGCGTTTTTTTGTCCTTTTCTCTTTGGACATTCCATGAGAATGTTATGTTTAACTATGTCGAAAGCTTTTTCATAGTCTATAAACGCAACGAAAATCTTTTTGTTGGTCTCGACATTTTTGGACAAGAGTTGTGAAACTATACAGAGGTTCCACTGTTCCGAAGCCGTTACGAAAGCCAAACTGTCTATTACTCATATCCGCTTCGCACTTTCTGAATATTCTTGCATGTATAATCTTTAAAAACGTTTTTAATAAGTGTGAAATTAAGTTGATTAATCTATAGTCATTACAGTGTTTGGGGTTCTTGGTCCAGAAAACAGCAAGGGATACAAATGCAGCAAAGGATATATAAGCATATTTTATACGTTGAATTTAGCAGGGCCTCTTCATAGTTTGGGCAGTTTTTTTGTGGATGGGGTATATTATTCCAATTTTCCGCAACTTACATTGTTTCGATATTTCCACCATCAATTTGAATAAATTTAATACAGTTTAAATATATAGTTCTCGCTGATTTTATCAGTTCTGATGGTAACTTGGTTATTCGTGGAGGTTTATGGTAGCCAGCTTTGTTGCCTGTCGAACTTCATCAAAACTTGGTAGATTAACTTGTTGGTCTTCTTCAAATTATTTTATCTATGATTGTTGTTTATTGTTTTATCTTGATTCTCGAATTTGACAAGTATTAAATAATGATTAAAAATGTTTCAACCGGCACGCAGCGGTTTATTATATCCGGCCTATTTTTGTTAATACAGTTCCAGCTGTGTCTTTACAGTGAGTTATTTTTGGTCTATACCTTATTGTTATAAAATATAACTTTATATAAAATACACCATATTCCATATTTCTCAATATCGATATCATCGATATGTTTCAGCTGTTTTTGTTTTAGAATTAGAATACGCAGAGCAAGAATATTTCTTGCCCTACGTATTCTGTTTTCTATCCTTCACTTCAGTCGGTATTCTTCCTTCAAAATTCTAATTTTTATTGTCCGCAATTTAATGTATACCTTATTTTTTTTAAGATTTTTTTTATTGAGTTTAATGCGTCGACAACTAATGGTCACTGGCATGGTACAGTGAATTATTACAGTCAGGTTAGCGTAGAGTGTAGTGTGTGTGTAGAGTAATTGTCTTGATACTTAGCAAAATCGACGTCATTGTCTTTGCTAAGAGACGCTAATTGTATCCGAACGTCTGCGGTCCCTCCGGTGAGTACCGATCGCACAAGGATAGAATTTTTTTTCATTTATTAATTTTTAATAAACGAAAATTTCTTCACCCAGGTGAGATTCGAACTCACGACCTTTAGGTTCAAAGGTAGGCGCTCTTACCACTGAGCCACAGAGGGGGTTAAGAAAATTAATTGTAGCATAAAAGGTTCGAAACCGTTCTGAACATTTATAAATCCATTTTGGATACATTTAAAAAACTTTAATACTACAATTTTCTACCATTTTACAAAAAGAAGTTTTTACTTCAATAATTGTAAGTTTTTTTAAACTATGATATACAGCGAACCACTGTGAATTTCCCTTATAAAATTTGAATAATTAATTAACGAAATAAATTAATTATAAAAATAATTTCTCGATAGAGATTAAAATTAAAACCGCTAGTACACGAAATATTTAGATATATCTGATTTAACTTAAAAATCTCTAATACATACCTCATCATTGTCTGTTTGTACTGGAGTGCTTTCTTGCACTTCAGTTGTATTAGTCTCACTGTTCTGCGATATCCTTCTTTCGATAATTTGATCAGTCTCCATCTTTTCTTCGTGACTACCAGTTTCGCCGTTGACTTGTGGTGCTTTATTATCAGCTACGTTATCGTCTACAGGTTTTGTATCTTCGACTTGATCAGATTGCGGAAATTTAAAGACGGAAGGGTCTTCGACTTGGCTCATACATTTTTTCATGTCTATCATGGTGAAATGGCTCTGTAAAACAGTAAATAATAATTCGTAAGCTGTGCCAAATATTTCAAAAATATATTAAACACAGAGGATGATGATCAAAGCTAACAGATGCAACTAGAAATAGTGCAAGCACTCCTGACCACGGCGAAGTAGACGAAATTTCGTTTAGTCCCCACTTCCATGCGAAACGCATTGTATTATACACTGTATAATTCCACTTACAATAGAACCTTTCTGCCTTTACGTGAATTTGACTCCGCTCTCGCGCAGCTTCATAGTCAGGAGTGTTTGAACTATCTTTACCAGCTGAAATAGCAATAGACCAAAACTACACCTAACCAGGAAAAATTGTAACTATAAAAATAAAAAACTAAAAAAAATAAAGAACCTTGAAAAATGATAAAGCACCTGATGAAAACCAAAAATCATCTACAAGAAGGTAGCAAAATGCAAGCTAACAACTGCCATTAAAGAAGAAGATTACTACTTGAAAGCTATACCAAACGACACAATCAAAATAAACTTAAACTCCAAAAGTATTGAATTATACAGGAAACTTATAAGGCATTTAAACAACCAAAAAATTGCATACCATAGATATCAAGTGAAACAAGATAAAGCTTATAGGGTAGTTAGTTATAAGAAATATGCCATAAAACACCATTAGAAATGTTCTATGCGGATCTCTTACCAAAAGAAATCAATAAGGATATCTATATCTGAGGTATATCTGCAATATGAAAGTAAGCATTCAACCTCATCAAAAAAAGACGCCGATCATGGAGTGCCAACGTTGCCAAGTCTACGACCATTCTAAAGCATATTGTACAATACCCAATACAGAAACCAAATCCAGAAACACTTCAGAAAAATGCACTCTGTGATCTGAAATGAAATGTGAAAAATGTGAGAAGGAGAGCACACTGCAAACTATAGAGCCTGTGAAGTCTACAAGGACTTGCTGAATGTAAAATTATCTTCAACGCGGTAAGTCATTATCGTAAGTAAGGACATCAGTCGACCCTCAATAATCTGATGTCACACCAAACTTCCAACCAATTCAGACATCACAGTGTCAGAATCAACAGTGACAGTACCATCAGCAGAATGTAATTAAATCTTACGTAGAAGCAGCAAGAAATGTAAGTCAAGTAGCAGATATAGGATCCCAACTGAACTCATTCTTAACTGAATTTGAAGTAATGATTACACAGCTATTGAATAAAAACAGCATGATCTTTACCATGCCCTCAACATTAGTAAATCAAATTCAGTAGATCCGTAGAAAGGAATGAAAGGGGGCACAGACTAATACGGTTCTACCAAGAAGAGAAATGCATTATAGTAAATACTTTCAGCAACCTAAAAGACGACTACATACTTGGAGATCTTTAACTGATCAAGTGGAAAAGATAGTCAGAAATCAAATTGACATTATCATTAATAGAAGGTTTAGAAACAGTATTACATCTGCAAAAACCATATAAGTGCAGACGCAGCAACTAACCATAATCTGCCCTGTGCTGGATTGAAACAAACTAAAAAGAATATAAGCTCCGACAACTCAGAAGAAACCTACTAATCGACTCCTAAGAAATTCCATAAAGCAGATGTGTTCTGAGATTAAAAAACAGCTAGAAAGATCTGGACAAGAAAATATCGATAATGTCCCATTATCCCTCCAGATACTGACAGAGAATGTAGCGTAGAATCTTTAAGTAATTTTAAACTGTTTGTCCTCGTTTTAGTGTAGTGTTTTGTACAATTTTATGTCATTTTTAATGTTTCCACATTCTACGCTTGCCGGATAGTTTACATTTTGACGAAATGCCCCTGAAGATGCTATTTTAAGCGAAAGTACTTGGGCTAGATTTAATTAACTTGTGCTCGATAATAGCCTTATTTTCTAAGTAAATCTATTATTGTTCTTGACAATGCGCCGTAACATTCTCGTAAAATAGAGAAAATACCAACAAATGTATCTAAAAAAAGGAATATCCAGCATTGGCTCCGTTCCAAAAATGTAAAATTTGATGAACATACTCTTAAAGTACAGCTTCTTTCAATTGTAAAAAAACATAAAAAAATGTATGATAAATGCGTAATTAATGAAATGGCAACAACCCAGAATAAACTGGTATTGAATCCTACCTATCACTGTGAGTTAACACCCCATACAATTAATCTGGGCAAATATTAAAAATGATAATGCAGGAAAAAACACCTCCTTCAAATTTTCAGAAGCCTAAATCTATTTTTATAATTGAATTTCATTAATTACACCAGAAATATCGAAGAACTGCATTTTACATGTTCAAGAAAAAATAGAAAATGAAATATGGCAGCTAGACAACATATTATTGAATTCTTCAGAATAATGTTTAAAAGTAGCCGAGATCTTGATATCTGCCATATATTTACGCCAAACTTAAACAAATTATGAATCACTTTGTATTTGTATTGCAAAAAACTAACCGTTTTGCAAAATTTACACTTTTTGGAATCGTACAAACAACTATAACAAAAATTATAAATAAAACTTATTTTTTGAAAACACCCTGTATATAAAATTTTTTGGTTGGTTTTTGAGATAAAAAAAATAATTTCTTGGTAGATAATCCTAAATGCGGTCCTGTTAGAGGTTTGCACCTACTAATGTTTAGGTCTCCTGCATAGCTTATTGAATTTTAGTATAGTGTCAAATATATACGTTCAAACATACAAAATACTTGCTACGTGGCGAAATGCGGCATTGAATCTTCGTATCGATCATTAATATCCAATGTGGTGATCAATGCATTATAATTCGTATTAAAAACTATTGATATATTATGTCAACAATGAAAATTTCAAGATATAAAGCTATATGTATATAATGTCGGTTTACAACGTTCTTCGACGTCTTCTGATTTTCAATCTCCATCTCATTCTAGATCGTCCTCCAGTTCTCTTTCCCTGATTTCTTTATCAACTCCTTCTCTCCAACTTCTTCTAGGCCTTCTTGGTCTCCGCCTACCTCTTGGTTGCCATTCAAGAATTTGTCTTGGTATTTTATTCTCCGGCATTCTCCTTACGTGTCTGTACCATCTGAGTTGTGTCGTTTTGATGTCATCAACAATATTATGTGTAACCTCCATGATTTCTCGGACTTCCTCGTTTGTTATTCTGTCGCGTCTAGAGATTCTCGCCGAGCGGTGCCATTTCTGTTGGTCTAAGTATTTTCTCTGTTCTGTCTTTTAGAGGCCACACTTCGCATCCATATGTTGTGATACTATGGTGTTGCATATTCTTTTATTTTCCTTAGAGATATTTTTATCCCAGAGTACGCTGTTCAGTAAGGTTATGCCTTTCCTTCCCTGTGTATTTCGTTCCTTAATGGCTGCATCTAATTTTCCGTCCTGGGTGATCTTTACTCCTAGGTATTTGTAGTCGTCACAAAGTTTGATCTCTTGATTTTCCTCTACGAGAAGGTTATGTTGATCTCCTCCGATACTCATGTACTCAGTTTTTTCCATATTCACTTCCAAACCCCACTCTGTAAACTCTTCTAATAGTTTTCGCATCATGTAACTAAGGTCTTCAGAGTCCTGTGCGATGATAACCTGGTCATCCGCAAAGCACAGAGTGTACAAAGTTAAGTCCATTAGTAGTATGCCCATATTCGTACATTTTTTCTTCCATTTGTTGAGTGCTGCTTCGAGGTATATTTTGAATTATGTTGGGGATATACAGCATCCTTGTCTTAGTCCTTTAGTCACTTTAAATCCCGGTGTTATCAGATTTCTTGTTTTAATTCTTGTTGTTTGTTGGTAGTACAACGTTTTTACAATTTCAATCAATTCTATATTTATATTTGTTTTCCCCAGTGTCTCCCATAATTTATCAAGCGGGACACTATCATATGCTTTCCTAAGGTCTACGAACGTCAGATGGAATTCTTGACCACGAGCAACTTTATTTTCAATTATCTGAATCATAGAGAAGACATGGTCTATTGTAGATCGACCTGCACGACAACCAGCCTGTTCTTCGGCTACTATATCTTGGTATTCTTCTTCTATTCGATTTTTTATTATTTTCCCATATATTCTGCTAATACTACTAGTAACTGCAATTCCTCTATAGTTTTCAGGTTTCGATTTATCTCCCTTTTTATGGATGGTGCTCATATGCGATTCTTTCCATTTCTCAGGTATTTCATGTTTATTTATGCATTCCTGGAAAAGTTGTAGCCGTTGAGTTAGTATTTTGAGTCCATGTTTGATGAGTTCCGAAGCTACATTTCCTGGGCCAGGTGATTTGCCAGTCTTTAGATGTCTGCATACGGTTTCGACTTCTCTCTCATTTATTCTGATTGGTGATCCTGTCAGCCTGACGCCTTGTAGACTATAGTTATCTAGCTGTTTGAAGGGCTCTGTTGTCTCTGTTAGTAAATTTTAAAGTATTCTTCCCAAGTTTGCGGTAATATGGACTGGATAATATGTCTTTTTCTGTTGCTTCTTAAATTTTTAACAGTTTCCAGCTTTATGAATTTTGGCTTCCACCAGTGTATCTATTTAGCATGGTGCACTTTTTTCCCCAGGATTCATTTTTTTTAACATATCTTTCTTCTGACCATCGCTTGCACTCTTTTGTATTCGATTCTGTCTTTCACATTTCTTGTGTTCAGATATTTTTGATACAATTTTTTTTTCTGTGTTACTTCCTACTTCAGGTAGTCTTAAGATATAAAGCTTCAGTATGTAAATCTATAGAAAAAAGCGTCCTGTTAAGACTCCGTCCTAACTATATTTATTTATTTTACTTTAAAACGTGGGTAGGCCGCGGAACTGCGAACTCGACTCTGGCACAGATAATAAACAAACAGAATACCCACTCTCCACGGAAAATTAAGTACGCGCATCTCCTCCACGCAGACGTTCCGCCATATTTTAGGAGGATTTTAAAGAAATTAGTGTTGTTTATGTGGTGTGCATGGAAAAATTAACCAGGTTTATTTGACTTACGGCAATCATAGACAT